GAGTATTGTTATTGACAATTTTAAGACTGTTTTTTTTCTTCAGGTTTTTTGTAAGAAAATTGCAACTTTCCCTGATTTTTGGAGTTGAAATAAAATTTCCTGACAATTCCAGGTTTTCCCTATTCTCCCTGACTCGTGGGAACCCTGTGTTCAACTCTGTAGCTTGTAATTTTGAACCCAATTCAGAAAACAAGGGAACTCCGGGATCAAGTATTGGGAGAAACCCGCATTTGCGGAAACGTCAGCACTGTGGTCGACGCACACCGGATGCGGAATTCTTTTCGACCCGTTATCGCTGGGATTCGAACCCGGTTCACCTCATTGGAAGGCTAACGCTCTACACCCTGAGCCATCATGGCTCCGTTAAGACTCTATTGTAGCTCTGTGCTTCATGTAAATGAAAATTTCAATCCTTTTCTAACCGTTCCAAGCAAAATATATTTTATTTTATTCCATAACCGGCACTGAACAGCAGTTCCATTTTAGGTTTACGGCTATCAATGTTCCAACTCGTAACACTTTGAATCCAACCCACAGGCAGGGCATCGAAACTCCCGCATAAAACATTTTATTTTATAACCGTAGTTGAACAACGGACCTAATTTAGGATTTATGGTTACTAATGTTCAACTCCGTAACCTTGTCGTTTTAAACCCACACCCAGAAGACAAGGCACCACAACTCTACTTAAACTATTTTATTTTATAACCTTCGTCAAACAGCCGAAACAATTCTGCGTTTACGACTATCAATGTTCAACTCCGTATCCTTGTAATTTTGATCCCAATCCTGAAGACTCCCGGATCAGTATCCCCTGATTTGTTACGAGAACTTTGTGACCTCGACAGATTTATCAGGCATCAGTCGCCATTTACTACACGGGAAGTCGGCGGCGAACCCACGACCTGTGGACATGGGCCCAGTGCCTTACCAACCAGGCTATCCCGGCCCTACTGAAACTATTAACACTCAACATACTGCAGTACTGGTAATAGCACTATTGAAGAATAAAGTATGAGAAGTATTTTTGGCCATCAGCAGATATTTTACTGCCGAAATTTTATTTTTCTTAAATTTCTTCAAATACGGAGAAATTTCAGAATATACGGGTAAACAAGAGATAGTAGTAAAATACAGGAGTCTTCGTTAAAAAGCAGGAGACTTGGAACAAACAAATCACAATAAAGAAGGTAACAAATATTTGTCACCTGTTTAGCCAACCATACGATTCCGTCGCCAAGTAATATTTTTTTATCATCTAATCAATCTTTCCGTTGAATGAACTATGGTGAATTTATTAACAAGTGTTAAAAAAAAAAATAACATAAATATTAGAACTATCTTTAATTTACAAATATCATATTAAATTAATGATGAAAACAAATATAACAAACATGTACAGATATTTTTTTTTCTTTTCAAACAAATCAAAATTTATGCTTGAAAAGTTAAATTGATTACTATAATTTCTACAAATATTAGCAATAAATTTATCAACTAATCAGGACCTGCACTGAGGACTTCCAATTATTAGTCAGTTAATTAGACAAATATCAAAAGTCAGGGGCCTGTTTAGAAGAAATTTGGGTCCGTCAACGGATCCTTCACAAAATATCTTTTCATAAAAACGGACCCTTCGCAAAATTATTTTTCTTTTAATCGGACCCCTCACAAATTTGTTTATCTTCATTATTTTGTTAATTGAATAAACCCTTCCCATTACAGAAAACAAGAAAGATGGATGTAAACGAAATAAGTTTTGTCTTCGGCAGACGCTTCTTCCTTTATTCGTACGAAATGAATATTCTGCGCTCATCAGTATAGGCTAAATACCAAATATTTGTACGTTTTATCTCAAATTTAGAAGCAGCAATTGCTGTTTATTTTTGAAAATTAAATTTTTTTATTATGATTTTACAGTGCTGAGCATAATCTCGTAATTCTTTACAATTTAAAAACCGCTTGAAAATTTTTTTGCAATAACCGAACCCTATTTGCACAAATTCATAAAAGCAGGACCCTGGTTGAAATATTGTCACTTAACGTTTATTTTATATTCACAAATTACAAGTCATTTTTTCACAATTTTACAAAAACGGACCTTTCACAAAATGTCTGGACAGACCCCAAATTTCAAAAATCTTAGCCAAAGGCAAATCTTAACAGTTTTTTAATGATTAATCTTTCCAATTTAAAACTTCAAATAAAAGAACTATTTTAACTATTTTATAAAAAGCAAATTTAAATCAAGGGTCATTTTATGGTTGGGGAGGAGTAAATGAGCAATGAAAAATGTAGATGTTATTTATTGCCGTTCAGGTAAATAGGTTGTGATAACTTCTTGACTAGAGCAGTATTATAAGAATAAACATAAAACAAAATTTTTTTCTTAGATTTGGACTATCTTTTAACATTTGAAATTAAACATTTCATTTTTTAGTTCTTAAAGAATTTTAATGGTTTTACTTCACTTTTTTTTACTGTTGCAATCATAATCATTCAGAAAACAAAAGTAGGAGGTGCTATTTAAATAATTTAATTCTATTCTTTGAGTAAAGCTCACAGAGATTTTTTACCAAAATTTAGGAGGGGGCTCTATAAAGGGGAGAGTGGTAATCTATAAAGATAAAAATTAAATTTTCTTATTTTAGCAACCATTTTAGTTTTCAAATTTTATTATGAGTTTATTTTAATAAACACATTTTTTTTTGTTGCAAAAATGGTTGGATGATAATAGGCATCTTGCGACTACTTAACCTGTTTTATTGTAAATGGTAGGGAAAAATTACGTTTCGCGATATCGAGTGATTGGATATCGAACGTGCTAATCTGCACTTTATCGTAGTTTGCTTCATGCTTACATAATCTCTCTTGCTGCCTACATTACCTATGCAATGTATCTAAAGGAAAGAACTACAATCGAATAAAAACGACCGGATTTGTCAGAAACAATTCATTTTTACCCCTATTTTCAGGATTGAGAGGAATATTTTTTTTTTCGGAAGAAAAACTGTTTGCCCAAACTGTTGCTAAAACACAATTTTTTTTTAATTGAAATTAAAGATTTTATTGCATTTGGCGAGGCGGTGAATGCTTAGCATGGGCCCTGTTTGATAGAAAATAAGTATACTATGCAATTGCATCAGTAAATATAATTGTTTAACTAACATAGACAACCTTTTTGGAAAAGAGCTGCAGGAATATATTTTAACCTTTCTGGGGGGGGGAGAAAGTGCAATAAGAACAATATTAAATTTTGCTATAAGCTAAGGGACAAAATACAGAAAAACGTAAGCATAAATAATCCTTGAAAATTAAAAAAACATTTAAAGTTTTGCAATCTTTATCTTTTTCTTTTAAAAAAAATTAATTTTAGCAGGTTTTCAACTCTTTCATGTAAAACAAGCATTTAATGCATAAATAAATTACATTTTAATTATTTAATAAAGTTTTAAACTATTAATGTTTTAAACATATTTTGGTTGGAAAATCTTAAAAAAAGAAAATTGGAATGTCAAGATATTAAAATATATTTGATATTTTTCAGTTAGAATTGTTAGTAAATTTGCAAAATATTTAAGCTCTGTGTCAAAAATTCAAAAACTATTACAAGGTGCGTAGCCAGATTTTTCAACAAAGAAATAAGCACATTCTAAGTACTTTTTAACCACTCAAAAATTTTTTTTAATTACTTTCCAAAAAAAATCATAGTAGGGATCTGTGTGGTAATAAAAATTATTATTGTTTAAAGTTCTTAATTTATAAACATAAAATCAATCAAATTCAAAAATATTTGCAAAAAATTTACGTAATCATGATAAAATAACTAGTTTCTGATAAATATTGCAGAGAAAATTGTGAAAATCATGCATTTTTTGTAATTTAGAATGACAATCGATATGAAACAAAAAGTACCGTTAAGGGCTTTTAAAGTAGGTAAATCAAAAATAAGTACCTTAAAGCACTTTTTAAAAAAGTTACGTACTCTGTATTGTACATATTTATTGTTTCGCATATTGATAAAGATTTTCGCCACCTGCGGAAATAGATCAAATTTCAAAAAATAGTCATTAATTCAGTTAGTCACACCTGACTAACTGAAAAATACCAATCTTTTAATAAGTACCTACATTTTGGCATTAAAAAAAATTTAAGTATTTATTAAAATTGTTATTTTTTTAAAAAAAAAAATTATCCTTTTTATTTTACTATCAGTGATTCTCAACCACTGTGCCGCGGCACTTTAGTGTGCTGCCAAATTCTTAAAATGTGCCGCCAAATATTAGAAATGATACAATAAAAATTATAATGCTTTTTTTTATTACGAGTAAAGTTTAAATTAAAGAAAATTGTACATATATATATATATACTTTTTATAATTTTTCCACTCTTCAATCGCGTGAACATCTTTGTCGGAGATTGTCTTGTCTCTGACAATCTTAAAATAAGAATTAATTGTCTTTGACACACAATTTTAAAAAGTGTTAAAATAAGTAGGAAATTTGATGACTATTAAAATAATTAACAAAGGCTACAACAAGTTAAATATTAACGTTCCAACGGAAATAAAGGCTAATCATTAAAGTAAGCTAAGTAGTTATAAAAGCAAATTAACAAAGGATAACTCACAAAAAATAAGCTAACAATTAATAATTAGCAAAAATAATAATTCACAAAAAAATAATAAAAAGTGTAAAAAAAACTAAAAGTTAATAACTATAGAAAACAAGCAAACAATTAATAACTAGCAAAAAAAGTAACTGTTACTAACTAATAAAAATTAGTCAGAAAGAAATAATTAATCCCTTAATAAACGTGCATTTGCAGTACATATTATTTTATTTCACATTCAAAATTATTATCACAGACTATTTAACACAGTGTATTATAGGTAAGTAAACAACTTTTAAACTATTTTTTTTTTTTCATTATGTACCGTCAAATTTCGAAATTGTTAAAAGTGTGCCGCCACATAAAAAAAGGTTGAGAATCACTGATCTAGATATTCCCAATTAATTTTTTATTGAAAAGCAGATGGCGACACATTTTTCCTTTTATAGACTAAGTCTTGGTCGTAGGTTGTGCATCTCAAATTCAAGAAATTCTAACTAACAAAAGCAATTGAAAAAAATTCCTAAAACAACAAAGTTATTTAAGTTGAGCAAGAAGTGTAGCATTTTCCCTTTGCATTTGTTTATAATCAGAAGTAATCCTCTCAAGAGTATCTGCAATTTTCTTTTGATTCTCTTGCTCAATTTGGTCTTCTAATTCTCTGATTTCTCTACTAATGGCACCCGTATCTTCCACTATCAAAATTAACGAACTACAATTTTCGTGTAGAGAAGCCAAGTATTTGTAAGCTCGACGAATGGCCTCGTCTTTTTTCGCATCCTTAAAAATGAGCTCGTCCGTCACGGTGAAAGTCCGCTCCAGTTTCCCAGACAATTTGTTTATCTCTTTCTGGACATTTCTCGTGTCGAAGAGCACTTTATCGATTTCTGCTTTTTGCTTCTTGATGTTGGCAACGATTTCCATAATTCTTTTAGTGTACGCGGAGCGGTTGACGTCTTTGGTGAGTTTCTCGTAAGCGGTCATCAGATGTTTGAACGTGTCTTCCTTCTGCCTCGCCTCTCCTCCGATTTTGCGGATTTTCTCCCTCATCGATTTTATTTCTTCCAATTTGCGCTGTGTTTCGTTCAGGCGGCGTGAAGACAACTCTTTCAACTCCCTGTACTGCTCGATGAGTGGAACCCTGTGCTGCTCCCACTGTTTGGCGAGCGCCACGAGCTTTTGGGAACTGGCGTCAATAAGATCCTGAAGTTTATCTATATTGGTTTCAGCTTGAGGTAACAGAGACAGGGTGCATTTCTTAACTCTGAGCTGTTCCTTTAGCTCATCCAGATTCATCTGATCTTTCTTGATTAACTGAATCGAACTGTCCGATAAAGTTTCATAGGATTTATTCTCCGACAGCAGGTCTTCCAATTTTATGGTAAGTTCGTCCACTTTTTCTTGCATTTCCTCCGCTTCACGCTTCAGTCGATCGTCTTCCTCCAAATCGTCTCTTTCCGAGGGCGGTTCACCGGCCGGCACGCCGACGCCTTTCTTCTCTGGAGTGAATTGCAGTTGGAGTGAGTGCGTGAATCTGGAACCACCTTGAACTGCCTCAGTAGTGAAGTCGCTCAGATAGGCTGTCGGCGTCTCCTTCATTTGCTGAACGGCGTTCACTAAATACTCATTAACCATCTTTTTTACTTTCGTCTTTTTATTTAAGACAGAGGTTAATTCATCCTGATCCAATTCATCGACATATTGTTTAATGTAATCGTGAGTGTTAAATTCCAGTATAGAAGGTTGCAGCAACAATCTGGAATTCACTTGATTTGGTGACAATTGTAAATAGTTTTTGATGTAATTATTTTTGGCACTATTATTTAACTGGAAATGATTGAAAGGATAACTTATATGTCTAGTCTTGAATTTTAATTTAGAAAACAAGGGAATTTTCTGAAAAAATTTACCTCCACTCTTAATTTTAAGCTTGCAGTAATTAGGTAACCACGGATCGTTCAAACTCTTAGTGAGACAGACACCGGTTTCCTTAATTATTAAGGCTGTCTTATCTAATGGTTCGTCCAAGGCCTTTTCACTTTCTTTAGGTAAATTTTCGAAGAGAAATAAAAAGATTCTTCGTAAATCAGACTCGTTGGAGTACAAAAAAGTCTGATAGCCTATTTCACCTTTATAGCCCAGCTCCGTACAGATAGATGCAAGAGTAGAACCCAAACGATATCGAGCTGACATATTCTGAGGAACATGGTTCGGCAATTCCAATGAAGGGTTGATCAATTTCAAACACCGAATAACACTTTCAATAGCAATCGAGGTATTGAATTCCGCAAGACTACTTATTTCGCCAAGATCACTTCCGATTTGGCGGAGTGTATGTAGAACAATTTCATCCACTTCTTCCATTTTAATAATAATTGCTGGTGAGATTGGTATTCGAATATCTTAAATTAATCTTTTAAAAAAAACATACATGAATATCACATTATGACATATCAGCATTTAAGAAATTCAACGTCTTTAAAGATGCTGAACTGAAAACGATGTAGTGTTTACGAAAACAAAAAAGGAGGAGTTGTAGTTTCACGAACTTTAATGATAAAGATGAGTGGAAGTGAAAGTAGGTTTTTCCCAACAGTAACGAAAACAGCGACGTCATATGATAAAATACTGTGGGAAACATGTATCAGTTGTGTACTTTGAATCCGATGTTAAAATAGTGTTGTTATTCACGTTAAAGTCGAATATTTAAAAAATAAAATATTATACAGTACTTGCAGGCTCCAGAATGCAGAATTTCTGCAAATGGAATTCTGGCTCCTGCAAATATTGCACTAACTGGAAATATTTTAATGCGTTTCAGTCTTTCTGATGTGAAACATGAAACATGATCGAGAATAGATCTTGAAAATGTGCCTTCATTCAATTATGATATCTGTATGTTAATATATTTAGGTGGGATTTATTTTCTACTTCTTTCGATAAGTAATCAAAAGTTACGATTATTGCGCCGTCATTATTTTTGGCAAATGGAACATGCTCATTTTTTTTTATAAACGTTACTGCAGACACTGCAGAGTAATCGTAAATTATGCTTCTTCGAAGATGTTATAATACAGTACTGTGTAGTTGTGTTCACCATGGAATCTAGGTCAATGATATAATCATGGGCAAAATAGCAAAAAGTAAGTGATTTGTGCTTTAAAGTGAAACAATAGTTTCTCCATTACCGATTTCTTGAAACAATCTACTGTCCGTTGTAAAAATTGAAAGTTAAGTTTATTAGTGGAGCAAAAACATTATATGTCGCATGTTATGTCTCTAGCAAGAATTAAAAATTTGATCTTTCTATTTTTCTTTATTTAATTAGGGAAGTTCAATAAATGTTTAAATAAAATTCACATATGGATATTTAATAATATACTGAGTTACTAATAAAACATCTGACATTGTTCAAGGAACTTCAGTAATCATCCATATAGTGTGCAGTGGCGGATCCAGAAATTTTTCCTGATGGTGGGGGGGGGGTCATANGGGGGGGGGGGGGGGGGGTCATAGACTGAGATTCCCCCTCAATAAATTTTTTTTATAAAAAAAAAACATTTTTTTTAGCATTTTTTTTAAAAACAAAAACTTGGGTTTTTAATGCTAGTGTTCTCATTTATTTTTTTTCCTAATGAACAATGCATAAATAAATCAAGTATTCAAAATCTTTAAATAATATATGTAATGCGTTTTTTAGAAACTTCGGCAAATTTGTCAATGATTTTTTCATCATCCAAATCAATTTCTCGATGAATGTTTAACAATGCGAGTCCATTTAATCGTTTTTGATTTTGAGTTGCTCTTAAGTCAAGTTTTGAGACGTCGAAGAGTTGAAAAGGAACGTTCTGCTGTTCTTGCACTAACTGGCAGAGTTATTAATGTTTACAATGAAGCTATAACGAATCTCGTTTTAATCTTTTGGATTATGAATCTTGAAACAGTGAAGACCATAATTAGATGGGGGGGAAATAGATTTTTCCGACCTACCTAGTTGTATATGACCCCTTAAATAAGTCTTAAAATATTTTATTTCTTTTGTAAACTATTAAAAAAAAATATTACTTTTATTTACTCTTTTCAATTTTGGGGGGTCATGACCCCTATGACACCCCCCCCCTGGATCCGCCACTGATAGTGTGGTTGATAGATTTATTGCTAATGAAATCACTGTTACAATATCTCAGATAGCAAAATAAGGTTTATTTCCAGTAAGCAAAAACCTTTGTAAACCTGAAAAGGTTTGTAATGAGGTTTACATGTAAACTTTCTGACCTTAAAACGAGATGTGTGGCAATCTGCTCTATTCTGCGCACATTACCCTCATCCAAAACCTTGGAAAGCAACCTTCCATACAAAAACCTTAGGTCGAGGTTGACTTGGGGTTTTTAAGCGTGGAAAAAAACTTTATTAAAGCCTGTCTCAAGGTGAAAATAATCTTAAATCTAGGTCATTATGAGGTTTCTTTTCGCAAAGTCTTGTATGCTCAGCAAAAATCCACCTTGTCATGAAATTTTAATGGACAATGCAATTTGAGCCTATCACTAGTGTGACGCCAACTAAAACGTCATTATGGACCTCAGTGACACTACTTTTTAAAAAAGCTTTAAAAAATAATTTTTAATCCTTTTGGGATGAAAGGTTTGAGACTGCAATATTACTGCTTTATTGAAAAAAAGGTTTTTAGTACAAACATTTCCGTGACAATAAAAGGAAAGTTTCGACACAAGGTTGTCGTAAGGTTTACATGCTTTCTGGGTATTCTAGTGGATCAAAATTAAGTCGGAAAGCTAATATAATGCCAAAAATTGTTTAGGTTAATGGCAGATCTATCGTATTTTTGTTACATGAGTATTAATCAAAATCTATAATTAAATTAAATCTCTTGTTTCGTTTCATTCACAGTCAGATATTCACTAAGTAATTTAGCAACTATATATAAATTTAGAATTTTCAAATGTAATCTAATCTGCCAATTCGCAATCTCATAGTATTAAATATACTTTCGTGCTTGAACATTAAGTCGTAAAGTCTTTTTTTTTGTTTTTGTTGTTTATTTATAGCTTGGATATTACAGCTTGACACACAATGCAATTATCAAAGAAAAGAAAAAATTCTTCTATAATAGAATTTAACTTCTGTTTTCATTTATTTACATATTTTAACTATACATACTATTCATTATTGTAAAATAATGTGCAAAAGTACTTGTAATTTATAAGTATAATTTAGTGATTCAAATGATACGAGGCAAGTTAATAATTACTGAGTAACCTACATTTAAAGGATTATACTCTCGATTTAGATTTCAATCATTGAATTCTTTTGATTACATATTATAAAGTTTTGTTTACATATTTTGTTTATATATTTGAAGAGGTCATTTAGCGGACACTATAAAGATATTTTTAAATATTTTTTTGGTCTGAGAAAGAACTTTGAATTACTTTATACTTCTCAGGTAGCAGAGCGTTTAGCGTACCTGACTGTGAAGTCAACGACTGCGGGAGCGAATCCCGCTCAGAGCATGGTTGTTTCTCTCTGTGTGTTGTGTGAATGTGGCACACTCTATAAACAGGTATCAGTGGCAGTTTGGCGTGGGTAATGTTGCTCGCCTGTATAGCTTCCGTCACAAGATGCTCGCCAGACATCGCCAAATGAGTATGTATATATTGCAAATCTATATATATATTTCTCTTACACAGCGACAAAAAAAGCCTCATTACAACTCCCCGAATGGCAACGCTAGAAAATCGACCCATGATTGCCGCTAAATATGTCACATGCCAAATCTAGCTGAGGTGGCTCAACATATAGCGCTTTTAAAAACGGAAACTTAAATAACCAGAGAGAGCATTCTCACCAAATGTGATCTCTTCCGAAATTCACCCTATCAGCTGCGACAATCTCATACTATTAAGCTAGTCAGAGGTGAGCAGTCTTTGTCGATAGATCTCCATTTTAGTATTTCGTCGAAAGCGCTTTATTACAATTTTTAATAGACTTAATTATAGCCAAAATTTTAACCTTTTTAAAGAGATATCAGTTTTAGAAATTTTATCTTAAGATTTTATACTGCAGCACATTTCTAATAGGTTTAACGAATTACATGTCATTTATTTGAATTCAAATTTATTTTAATGACTTAGTATTTACTAGAAAGATGTAATTTAAAAAAAGTTGTTATATGGATTTGAATGATTGTTTTGAATTCTTAGAATTTTGTGCATTTGCAATGTACCTAAGTTAGTGGTGAGTGAAGCGAGCTTGGTTTGCGACTCAAACCATATAAGATTGCGTATCAATTTTCGGGGATTGGCGAGCGTTAGCGATCAGGGGGCGCAGCCCACTAGTATTTATTATTCCTAGTAAACTCGGGCATAGCAGAATTCTTCAATACGTTTTGCTTTATCACGTTTTTATTCGGCCGGAAGCAAAAAAAATAATTAATTGCGGCGATCGAAATGGTGACATAGAGCAGAACTCTCCACCTATAACAATACATCGTATGCTTTTCCCCATTAGCGTGTGGAGAGTCATAGAGGAAGGAAGTACGTTAGTTTCTCTCTTGATTTTCATATAGATTAAAAACTTTTAAGTTGGAAAGCTATATGGGACTGAAAACTACATTAAACATAGCTCTAACGAAAAGCATCATGGATATTCTAAAAAACATTATTTTTTAAATAAAAAGGGAAAATACCATAGTGCATTCCCATACAACTGAAAAGGAAGAGGAGAGGAAAGGGAGAAGGGCCAAAGACGTGAAACCAGTCTCTTCCCAGATGGCGTATTCGAGCGTTGCGGTCACCAATAATAATCTGCTGTGAGTGGAAGCCCACTTTTGTTTGGGAGTTTTGCTATTTGTGGGACTGCAGACGTGTTTTGTACAATTGTATAAACGAGGGTGGATGAATTTACGTAGAAAAAAAAGAGTAAAAAAATAGCCCTCGCGAGCGAAAGTAATGCAGATGATTTTTAACATATGTAACATATACAAACATATACAAAGACACATATTTGACTTTTTTTCATTTGCCCGAGATAATTTGGAATAGTAAACTGATAGTAAATTAAATATTTTTTAAGCATAAAAAAATTAAAATTTCAACCTAGAACTTATGTTTTGTTTTAGTCCCGGGTATTTATTAATAAAATAAAAAAATACTAGTGGGCTGCTCCCCCTGCTCGCTGCCGCTCTCCAACCCCCGAAAATTGCTACGCAATCTTACATGGTTTGCTTCGCAAACCAAGCTCGCTTCGCTCACTACTAACTTAGGTACATTGCAAATGCACAAAATTCTAAGAATTCAAAAATCATTCAAATCCATATAACAACTTTTTTTAAATTACATCTTTTTAGTAAATACTAAGTCATTAAAATAAATTTGAATTCAAATAAATGACATGTTACTCGTTCAACCAATTAGAAATGTGCTGTAGTATAAAATCTTAAAGCGTAACACCACGACCAGGGCCGGATTAGCCTATAGGCGCACTAGGCACGTGCCTAGGGCCTACGAAAAACTTGGGAGAAAAAAATTTGTTGACAAAAATAATTTAGCTTTAAAAACAACAA